CCCACCGAAATATCAAACTGTAAAAGCGATAACAAGACAAACATGTCAGTGAACACACACACATGCACACACACACGCACGCACGCACACACGCACGCACACACACATTGAACCTCATTGGCACAATAATTGAATTAACAAAAGGAAGATTTATACATAAACCGCTTTATGCACATAATTTTCAAAATAAATGGACAGCTGATAATAATTAATCAATCAATCAATCAATTAACCAATCAATTAATTAATTAATTAAATGGTATTATCTTTCCATGAAATGATTTTATTTATGTTGACTATCCGACAGGCAAACGCAACATAGTATGATAAATGTACGTGAGTTGAAATGTTAACTATTTACAATTAAGCTATCACCACTACTGTTGGTTGCTACGACTGATCAATCAATCAATCAATCAATCAATCAATCAATCAATCAATCAATCAATCAATCAATCAATCAATCAATCAATCAATCAATCAATCATTCATTCATTCATTCAGTCAGTCAGATTGTCAGCCAATCAACCAGCCAACCAATCATGAAATCATTCATGCATAAACTCAATCATTCAACCAATCAATCATGCACTTTAGACGAGGAGGACTGCGAGGAAGAACCTGCAACTTCTTGTTTAGACCTGCCCAAAGTAGCAGCAGTAGCAGCTGAAGCATCTACACTGCTCCCAGAACCAGCAGCAGCAGCTACTTTGCTGACGTAACGTTTTCTGATCTGTCTGGAGTCACTCCAATCATTGATCTGAACGTGTGGTGAGTAGTGGCTGGATGCTGTTTTGTTCAAGAGAGGTAGGATTTCTGTTGCCTCTGAAGGCTTTGCCTGAGAGTAGGAAAATAAATTTGAAGGGCAATAAAATCATTTTTTAAAGTTTTGTTCGTTTGTTTCCTCGTTTGTTTGTTTGTTCGTCAGTTCATTTGTTCGTCTGTATGCTTATTTGCTCATTTGTTCGTCAGTTCATTCGTTTGTTTGTGAGTTTAGGGTAGCAATGAACCGTTAGAAACAAATAACACACCGATCAAAGTGCATCGAAAGTATTCAATTACAACTGAAATCATTTCATCATAACAACTGCAGGCAGCTAAGCAATGTAACACGATATTCATTCATCGTACATTATAAAAAGCTAAAAGGGACATCGCTAGAAAAATGTTCTCCTTATGCAAGTTTCAATCAATCAATCAATCAACCAACCAATCAATCTACCAACTAACCAGTCAACCAATCAATCAGCCAGCCAATCAGCCACCCACCTTAAGAGCAACCATGGCATCGGTACCATAGCCCTCGATGGAGTTTAACCACAAGTCGCCACTGAAGTAGCGGGCGTACAGACGCGACAGAGGTAGTCCGTAACCATACCCTGACTGGTTGGTTGTTTGCGTGTATGTGTGTGTGCGCCTGTGTGTGTGTGCATGTGTTTAAGGTAGCATTAAAAATTCTAAAAAATAATTGATATTTGAAAAAACTTTGTTACTAAGATATCAATTAACATTTTTCCACACATAAACATATGCAAGTAGGTCAACGAAACCGACCAATGGGGAGACGGTTAACGTCTCGTCGTCGGGAGGGGGAGGGGTCGGCGATGACGAGCACTGGTATCGAAATATGTTAGTCAAGTTGCTCCTAGCTATCCCTCGACCTCTGTCTGATATCTGGGTCGTGTCAGCAAATTAGGTCATATAATTTTAATGCATAAAAAAGGAATTGTTAAAGAGATTTGATGATACATGCAGTGCTAATCAAATATTTGAGTTTCGAGTTGAGTGCTTGGAATGTACAGAAATGCAGACAGAATGAACAAACATACCTGAGCAAACACATCCGACTTAATTAATTAGCGTTGGAACTTATCAGTAGCAGTTCATTAACTCCAACATACACATCACCACCACCGTCTAAAAATAGAAAATAAACAGTAAACAGATTGCTCATTTAGTGGAACATTCACCCAACTCTCAACCACAAATGACCATGATGGCTGCTACCTGCTCCTATTATTCGGATCATAAACTTTATAGAATTGAGTTTTTACAATATTTAAAGCCTTTACAACTAAAATAAATCTACAACGAAAAACGATATAACGACAATAGTATGAGAGAGTTAGTATCAATATGTATTTGGAAAAATAATAATTATAACAACCATAATTAGATAAATTATATTATATTTAGTTAAGAGTAATGGAAGTTTTATTAAAGAACCATGTTTTAAACTGGTATTGTTTGTACTAGAAGTCTAACAAATATATCATTATTCGCTTGTTCGTTCGTTCGTTCGTTCATTCATCCATTCATTCTTTTATTCATGCATTCATTTATTCGTTCTTAATTCTACAGACATACCAAATTCATTCGTTCGTTCATACATCCATTCATTAATTCATTTTTTATACACACAGGCGTACTATAATACATTACTTTTTATTACTTCATTCATTCATTTGATCATTCATTCGTTCGTTCGTCTGTTTGTTCACTCACTCACTCACTCGCTCACTCACTCGCTCACTCACTCACTCACTCACTCAATCACTCACTCACTCTCCGTACAAAACAAACAGCCAACATATTATTATCATCAATATTTACCTATCAGTGCTGTCAAGTGCATTTAAAAAAGTGAGAGAGAAAAATTATATTATTCAATAATAATAATAATAAATGAATATATACATATCAAGAAAAATATTATGCACCAATAAAGACATGTAGTGTATGTATATGTACACGTGTGTATATAATAAAAATTATTTATTAATTTATAATAAAGAATTATATATATTCCAGCTGACTCTGATGGATTGTTATCATATCGTGATAAAAAAAGGCTCTAGCTAGGGTAGAGTGAGGAGAATTTTTTGAATGAAAAATAATTTTAAAGATCATAATCGTACACACACACACACACACACACACACACACACACACACACACACACACACACACACACACAGACACATAATGCAAGTGGGGTAATTTATGAAATCTACCGAATTTTTAGCGTTGAACCAATTAGTTCAAAATGAGTCTATCTATCCAATGCTAGAAAGATTTCATAAATTACTACATTAATCATGGTCGTTTACCAGTATACATACAGACATACATATGTATAAGCATGGTAAAATAAAAATAAAAAGAGTATATCCATCCAATGCTAGAAAGATTTCATAAATTACTGCATTATTTATGGTCTTTTACCAGCATACATACAGACATACATATGTATATGCATGGCACTTGCTTTCAAATTTGATGATTCAAACAGTTAATCGTTAGGCGACCTCTGAATGTTATATATAAACTACCGGAGCATTGCCGTGGGTGAGGTAATAGTCCCACATTTATGTAGCAGCGTTTAGAAAGTACAAAAGTATCGGTCGATACTGCGGGCGAGACTTTCGATATCAAAGTATTGGAATCATCGGTGATATAAATAGTTATTTGTACTAACAATACAACTTTTGAGTGTTGCTAACAACTCTCTACGTACATACATGTATGTATATATACAACCCTGTATGTATATGATAACAATGAAAGTGATAAAAATGATAAAGATGCTAAGAATGATGATGATGATAAAGAATGATGATGATGATGATGAAGAATGATGCCAACCTTGATGACGACATCTTCCTCGCCCTTGCTGATGAGGCAGCTAAGTGGGGGCAGTTTCGGGGACCCCGTGTATTTGTCTAGGGTGGCCTTCTGGGCATTCTGTCCATCATCATCATCATCGTGTCACTATCACCATTTTCATCGTCATCGTCGTCGTTATCATCACGATCAATAACAAAAGCAGTAATAATGAAAGAAGGCAGAAGAAAAAAGCAAAGAAAATTACGAAACCTTGAACAGTTCAAAGAGTATGTGATACAGATGTGATGGCACATATGTCATCTTCACTTTGTGACCCTTTATTGAGTCTGGTGGCCATTAAAATGTTTTTGTTAATTTGCTATCAAAATTCGTATTATATATACTTAAAGCCACTTTGAAAAACTTTGTGACCGTGCCAACAGGTGCATTGGATAAAATATTTGAGATAGCATAGAACTGGCCGACAAGAGCAAATAACCCTAAACCCCAGCGGCTACCAACCAGAATAGTGAGCAAATTGACAATCAGTTGAGAATCCAAAATGTTTCTCGCACAAGTCTTTTGCATCTTCAAAGGCGTCTGCCATTGAGAATTATTATTTATTCGTGAATTTCATTGTTAATTGATGTACAAATAATAATGAAAAATATTTTAATCATATAAATAAATAAGTTTCTTGGCTAAAACATCAACAATGAACAGTTTATTTCTACGACTGATAGCAAATCTGTCCTTTACTTTGCATGTAGTAGGAAGTTTAAAGTTTGAAATCCATAAGAAAGAATAAAAAACAAACAAATAATTACTTATTTGTTCTTCATTGGCAGAAAATTTTTCATCAGTATTACACAAAAAAAAACGACTGAAGACTAAATAATATCCACATATCAAAAAACACTAATTACTAACTTTTAGCAAGTAGGATGACGTCACATCTGGGGTCCAGACAGCCGATGAGGTGATGTACCTCTTTGTTCACGTCTGCATCGGAGTCCAGCTCGTCACTGCTGATCGAGTCACTGTCATCTTCCTCCATCGTTGATCTACGCGAGAACAGGGAAACTAAGAAAAGGAAAATTAGTTGAAAATGGGTCTTCAAAATATGTAGACTCAAACTCAAAGACCAACACACGCCATGTACGTGATGTGTATGCTGTACGTGATGTGTATGCTGTACGTGATGTGTATGCTGTACGTGATGTCCGTGGTGTAGTGTCGAGAGTACAGCCCTTGTGGCAAAAAAGTTTGTATAGAACAACATGTAAGCTGTAAGCAGTTCTGAATTATTTGATAGAGATGCATCATGAAGAGAAATAAAAAAAATAACATGAACTTTAACTTTTATCATCACACATTATCATCTCACCATCATCAACATCTCTTATTGTAATCATTACGAACATAACCATAATTATTTTCACCACATAATCATCATAACCACCACTCGTTGCTCATTGAGACATACGACGAGACACTGAGACATCACATAATCATCATCGCCATCACCACTGGACATACGATGTGTCTCAATGAGCATGTTGACACTGATCCTATTCATGTAGAATCGGTCGAGGAAGTACTGGACAGTTTCATCGAGTGACCACGAGGGCGAGTACATGGCGGTTGACCTTATGACCTCGGAGATGTTGCTCGAATTGATAATTGGTTCAGATAGTGGATCGTCCAGAAGTTTCAAGCGCATCTCCCTGACTCCCTCGGCCATTGTCTCCACCACAGACGAATGACGATTCTTCACGTTGCCCAACGTCACCAAGAATCTTTTTTCAATTTTACGACCAATAAGGCAATAACTTCTTTAATATATACAAATTTACAAATAATAATGATAACGTTGGCGGTTTTATGAAACAGTTTGTGTGAGGAACAAGAGAGTATGATGAAAATGTGTGGAAGAAAGTTAGTTCAACCAGACAGAAAAATATTCCTATCAGTTCAAAGAACTTCCTGTGATAAATAGAACAGTGTTAGATCACAACCAGATGAAGATATACGACAAAAACTAATAATACAACGATAAATAATCATAAAAACATTTCAATCAATTAACTTGACATATTTAACTGCAGTATTTCGTTTAGTTTCAAAAAAAATATTGAACCAACCTTTCGAGAACTTTTGGTTTGTTGGGATCAAGTTTTGTGAACTCCAGTAACTCTTTGAAACTCATGTCATACCTACGAATGGTTCGATAAAGTAAGTACCATGTGCCGCAAACTATCAACAATCCATCATTCCAATAACCACTATTAAGAATTTCTATTATTGGTTAGATGAAATATAGGTAATTAAGTTATCAACTTCCTCATCATCATCATTTTGTCCCCATTCTCATAAACTCCACCACAACCCTCACCACCATGGCCTCCATCCAGCAAACTAACCACTCCTTGATCTGAGTGACAGATTGTGTGGTTAGGAGGACCTCAGGCAGCAGACTCATCTCCACCATGATGTTGGCCATCCTCACTGGCAGTTCCTTCTGAAGAAAGTTGAATGAATCCTGCGGCGGCCGATGCTTGGCACCTTTTTTGGTTGCAACTTTTAAAATGAATAAAAAACATAAGACTAATTAGAGATTGTTAAATATTTTTGACAAACTATTGGAAATTTATAAAACATAAGGTTTACTGAAACACTAAACGATTGAATGTGATGAATTCTTGAAATGTAATTTAGGGTATTGTTTTGAAAACATTATTTTCTTTAGGTTGTGTTACGTTAAGTCAGCAAGTAAAAAATTAAAAAAAAGTAAATGAAAGTAAAGTACTAACCGAAATCAATAAGTTGTTGCATGGAGAGAGCAATAGGCGTGCAGTGAGCATAGTACTGAAGATCACTAAATACACTGAAAAGGTACTTTGTGAGACGCATTGTACTGCAGCACTTATTCAATCCAATTCAATGTACCAACCAAAACTTTTAAAATAAAAGTTGTAAATAGAAGTCAGTTATAATATAACTGTTTTATAAATGCAATAACAATAAAAATACATTATTCAATTTTTATCAATACAAACATTTGTTAAGAAAAAGTTTAATCAAAATTTTCTTTATAAAGTGTTGAACCAGGGCTTCACAAAGTAGCACAATGTCAAGACCATACATTCATAATGGATGCTTGCAGCTAACTTAGTATAGTAAAACATATTGTTTAACACCTTGGAAACTAATTATGAAAATGTATCAGTAACCTACATGATGTAATTATGTATTATTAATTTAATGTTAAGTGGAGTTCTTCTGAAATAAAATGCAAAATGTTTTATAAATCATCTTTTCAAACATTTTTTGCAAACATTCACTTTCCTTAATCAAGCACTTTCTAAATAAACTAACTAAATTACTAAACTAAACCTAAAAGTAAAGTGAATGAATATACAATTTGAGAGTTGATGTAATAATAGAAAAAAAACAGGCAATTTTTTGATGTTGTGGATGTCTGACTTTGATGTATGCATGCATAATCATTTGGCAAGTAGTGTGGCCTTCAAAATTGATGTTATTATAATATGGTTTACCTTTACTTTTACAGTTACACAATCATAACATAATTTGTTTTTCTAAAAATGAATCATGAAATCGAGACAGCATGTCATGATATAAATTATAACTTAACATAATTTAAAAAATAAAATAATCAAATGAGAATAAACAATAAATAACCATACTTACATTCAAATAACATTGATTACAACTACACACACAAACGTCTGCCAAAAAAGAATTTCAACAAAATATAAAGTTAGGTAGCTTGGTCAAAAAGGTATTCATTACCTATTTTTTAAACTTCTCTCAGCTGGAAAACCTGGACAGGACAGGTCAACAACTAGCTAGGCTAGTGGAAAGCAAGGTGAACAATTAAATAAAAAAAACGAAGAATCCAAAAACTAGATCATGATGTTCGTTGCAAATAAATATTGACAATTCTTGATGTTTTCGCATTCAATGGATAAAATAAAAACGAACGATAAATTTGAATTTAAAAACTAACAAATTAAATTTTTTTTTTAAATTCCAGACGAAATTTGATCGCGTGCAACTAAACAACAACAGACCATCTCAACCTTTGTTACGTAAGATGACGTTGTCACAATTCAGTTTGTGAATCTGGGAATCGGCTGGGATCAGGTAGACTTTGATTGGGATCGACTGGGATCTATAAACTTTAGTTTAGGAAGCCGGAGATGATAGATGAATGAATTACTAATATTTATGAAGTAGCGGAAATAGCGCTTTATAAGCTAATTGATTGAAAAATTGAATTGAAAATATCAAGAAATGTTTAGCTATTCTATACTGCTATCGCTAATTTCATTTTCATTAGCAAAGTTAATTCTTATTCATTTATAGTTTTCTGTATATATTTCTTATATATTTCACTATTTTACTAAATAAATAAATATTATAATGGGAAGTGAATAAATGACAAAGTTGTTCTGCTGACCACCTAAAGTACATAAACTTTTCAAAGCATACCTCATAAAGCAATCAAATAAATACGGTTTCAACAGCAAGATTATTTTCAATTTGAATAGTGATAAAATAAATTAAATTTTATTACTAACAATAATATAGACACACACATTCACACCACACACACACACATACACGCAAAGAGTTCAGCACTTTCCATATACTAAAAATATACTTTCACTTTCACGGGCGCTTTTTTGAATAATTCCTACCTTTTCGTTTCGTGCTTATTATGCTGCTAGCTTAACTGATGTTCAGCTGGTTCATGTCTTTCAGTTTTCTTTGAAAGCATTTTAATTTTACGTTTTGAGTCGTTTTAAAAATTATTTTTTAACATTTTAATAATTTATTTAGCGAGTTTTACCCTTCTTCAATGTACCGTGAGACTGAGGTGGAGGCGAAAGTTACGCGCTGGGCGAAGGTGTATCACTCCAGTTCTGTGGAGTCATTCTCAGCTTTGATTGGCACTTGTTAGTAGTCAGTTTGTGTGAATAAAATTTTAATGCCTATAAATAATTTAATGTTAATTTCAGAAAAAATTATATTGAATGTTTTTAATTATTGACTCTGCGTAGTAACCTTTTTTATTTTATATGTTTTACAACCTGCTTTTTGGTTGGCAAACTATCTGCCTGAATAGCTGGTTCTTGAGTTGTATACAAATTTTTTACTTTACAGTTTACATAAGATTAGTGTGGATTTCAGAATGGAACAAAAAAAATTAAAGTGGCAACCAACAAAAAAAAGTTGAAAACAAAAATTTTTATTGTGAATCAATTTTTACAAAATATTTTAATTATTACAATATATATATTATCTTGGTTAGAATTCTAGCACAACTTCAGTGGCTTCATCATCTAACTAAAACTAAACTAAGACATGAAGACTTTGGTAATTTTATTTAATCTTCTAGGCTCAGCTATTTGTTTGAGTGAATAAAAGTTTTGCCCTCTAAAGATATCATTGATGAAGTAAATAAAATAAATAAATAAAAATAAATAAATTAATGAATTAAATAAAATTAAGTGAATAGATAAAATAAAATAGATAAAATAAAACATAGATATCACCACGTTTGCCAATTCCTCCTTACCTCCAAACCACAAACAACCTAACTAACTTAACAGACAATGAAGTACAAAGTTTTGAGAAGTACATAGAGGAGATTACAAAACATGCATGCTCCAGCGAGTCACGCCTCTATCCGCTGGAGCTCCTACGTGAACAATGTACTGTACTTGCTCAGTGCAACGGCAGTTGGTACAAAGGTGTCGTACTCAGTGTTAACTTGTTAGTGTCTATGACCTCTCGGGTTTACTTCTGTGATGAATTCTATAGCATTACTAGATGTAGATATATTGATTTGTTTTCTTTATGTTCGTTTTGACTGTTTGGGTACCCATTTGTTTATTTATTCATCGTGCAATCCATTCATCAATCTATCCACCCATTCAACCATTCATGCATCTATCCATCCATCCATGCACTCATCTATCCATCCACTCATCCATTCATTCGATCTTGTATGACAGAGCTGAACGAATGGCCGACATAAACTTCATCGATATCCAACACTCAGAGATGATTAGTGAACAGCACATCAAACATTATCCAGTCAGACTTGAGGAAACAAAACCATTAATTCGTGTTGTCAACTGTGCTCTTAAGGTCTGTCTGTCTGTCTATCTGTCTGTCTATGTCTGACTGTGGTTGTTTGTCTATTTATTGTCTGTTGGTTTGGGTGGTTGTGTCTGTTTTGTTGGCGAGTTGGCGGCCTTTTATGGGTATGTGTGTTTGTTTGTCCATGTGCGTTTTTTCTAGTCTGTCTCTCAGTCAGTCTGTCTTTCTGTTTATTGTGTCCGTTGATTGCATTAGTGTATGTTTTTGTTTGTGTGCCTGTGTTTGTTTGTTTGTTTGTGTGTGTGTGTGTGTGTGTTTGTCTGTTTAAGTGTGCCTTTTTGTGTGCGTTTGTTTAGGCGAATGTGTGTGTATGTGTGTGTGTGTGTGTGTGTGTGTGTGTGTGTGTGTGTGTGTGTGTGTGTGTGTGTGTGTGTGTGTGTGTGTGTGTGTGTGTGTGTGTGTCAGTGCTTGCAACTGTAATGCTGATAACTGATGAAGAGAATGACAATGTGGTTGGTTGGATGAAGGTAATTAATTTGCTGATAATTTTCTGTTAATTACTGTGTTAGTAATTACATGAATGATAATTTTATTATTATTATTATTATTATTTTTATTATTATTATTTTTTTTATTATTATTATTATTTAATTTTTTTATTAATTTAAAAAATTTCAACATTGGGTTCTTGCAATTTTTTAAATTTATAATTTATCAATAACATTTGGTCAAATCAATTTTATAATAACCTTATTAACTCTGTAATACCGTCATCTTATGCCATCTACTATGAATATTTGAACTGTTTGTTTAAAACTAAACATATCTCGTTGTACTTGTTTATTTCAAATGATGAACATCGCAGAATACTATTGTATTTAATTTAATTTTATTTATTTAATTTTATTTTGTTAGATTTTAATTAGACTTTTATCTCATTTTACTATATTTTATGTTTTTCTGGAAATAAAAGAGAGTTCACATTATTATTATTATTATTATTATTATTATTATTATTATTTATATTATTATTATTAACTGATTAACGCCATGATTCAATTCGCTAGTCATAAAGCATACATTGTGACAGAACAGAAACACTATTTAGCTTCAAATATATTTTTACTCTCAAGCTTTTGTTTATCAAAGAGCATGAGAGGATTGTACATTATATTTTACATCTTATTTATTTACACTCTAATATATAATTAATGAATTTCGATTGATTTCACGCAGATTTTCTCTTTTTGATCAATAAAAGAATTTTCCCATTATATTTTTATTATTATTTTTTATTATTTATTACCATTATAATTCTCTGCAATCTGCCAATGGGTAATTATAGTCTTTTAATAGTAATTAATGTATCTATCTGAGTGTAAGGTCATTTGATTTATTAATTGGTTGATTAGTTTTTGATTGGTTGGTGATCAATTATCTGATAAGGTCGTTTTGTTGGTTGGCTGATTAGCTGGTCTTGTTAATTGGTTGGTTGATTGGTTGGTTGGCTGGTTGGCTGGTTGGTTGATCTTGTGAATTGGTTGGTTGGTTGGTTGTCTTGTTAGTTTGTTGTGTCATTTTTGTGGTGCTGTTGTTGTTGTTTATACTGTTGTTGCTAATAGTTGAAATGGATTAAACTTGGTTGGAGAGTTGTCTCAGGTGAGAGAGAGAAAGAAAGAGATCGCGTTTTTTGTTGATTTTATTGCTTTTAGACCTGTTTCAAATAGTCTCCATTCAATAATCAAAGACCCTGCGTAACGTGGAATATAACGCGTGCAACGTACACAACATCGCTCATATAACATGACGCATGCAACAGACAATGCACGCCTACATGACATAGAACATGTGACATTGAAGCATGTCTCTGTCTACCCACCTACCTACCTGTCTACCCACCTACCTACCTACCCACCTACCTACACAGCACACAACATCATTATACACTACAGGTGATCAACTACAAAAGCAAGTCAGCTGAGCAGGCATTCTGCGAGTTCCGAGAGCTGACGAGCAATGTCTTCCTGGTTGTTCTGGCAATGGACTACAATGAAAATAAGAAAGTCACCTACGTAGACTTTCTCCTAAAGTTTGTCTTACTTACTTTTCTTAATTTTTTACTTATTTTTTTAATGTTATTCTCTCTTATCTCTATTAACCAAGAAGACTCAGTAACAAACACACACATGCAAAGTACGTGAATCATGTGACAGGCGGGGATCTGTTTGCATTCAAACCCGGTCGTTGCAACGCAGAACCAAACGCCTTTAACCATTACACCATTCGTCACCATCTTCCTCTACAGTTTTTTTTTATGTTTTAATGTTGTTGCTTTCTTTTTTTAAACACATTTGTCTTTTTGCGATAATTTGTGTTGTTTTTTAGTACCAAAAAATTTTTAAGTTTGAACTTTTAAGCGATGATGCTCGTTAATAATGGTGGTGACGACTTATTTGTGATATTTAATGACATATTTAAAAGGATGAAGATGATGACTATGGTAATTAATTAATCAATCAAATATATCTTTAATTAATTGATTAATTAGTTGATTAATTATCTAATACATTTTTGCATATAAATGAAGCAAAGCGGACAAAAAGTCATCATTGTGCAAGAAAATCTTCGGTCCATGGGACAATGATGATGATAAAGTTGTCACGGTCAGTGT